CGCTACAGCTCATGGAAGACTCTCTTGAAGCTGAGCAAACAGGTCCTCGAGAAGCTCATCGAGCCGAAATTGACGGGCGAAGCGCCCTTGGCTACTGGGGCTAGCACTATCTAAACCCCAAGCCCCAGACCACCCCTAGGGTTTAACCTAAACCCTAAACCCTAAGGTTTATGCTTCGTTGTTTTGTTGTCTTCGATTTAGGGTTTTGGGGAAACTCCATATGGAAGCCTTGCCTGGACCGATTTCGGGCTTCGCGGGTCCATGGTTCTGTGAACTTGGTTTAGGGTTTAGGGTTTTTGCGTTTGGGATTTAGTATTAGGGTCATAGAAGGTTTTGGACGGTCCGGTTTTTCTGGCTAAGATGTGGGGCTGTTGGGTTAGGCAGTTTCGGGCCGGGTGGCTTGTAGATGCAGAGAGTTGAGTACACCTGCATATCTGCAACAGCCTGCAAAGACAAACGAAGTACGAAACCCCAAACCCATTAAAACCAAAAGCCCTTTAAGCTGTAAACCCTGAACCTAGACGCCCAAAGCCCAGGCCCTAAATGCCCTCAGCCCCGAACCTCTAGCGTCCAGGTTACGAAGTGTGCCTCCGGCTGCCGCATCACGGCACAGGGCCTCAAGAACAAGGGCAAGCCCATGTGCTTCTGGGATTCATTGGGTCACCGTGTTAGTAGGCTGTTTTATTCAAAGGGTACGATTGTTTCCCACGGAGTGATTTGAAATTAAGGCTATCATGTTAGGACGTCTTCACAATAAGGACATAGTATAGCGGCTTTATCTTAAAGTCCCTACAAGCCTACTAACTCTTACAGTAGCCCTTATAGATCAATAGAACCCTGAAGTGCCGTTTCTCGCACCCTCAACCCTAAACCCTCAACCCTCAACCCTAAACCCTTAATTAACCCTTCTTCGAAGAAGGGCATGCCGATGAAGAAGGTGACCAGGGCCTGTCACCCATTGAAGGGTCGTCGAGGTGATGAGTGAGAGGGTTCATGATCTCTGAGGTGTGTTAACCAGCCTGCCTCATCGAGGCTCTCTACTGTTCGTGACCAGTCGCGAGGTGGAAAAAGGCTCTCAAAAAAAACCCTAAACCCTTAACCCTAAACCCTAAACCCTAAGCCTCAGATCGCGAAGCTCCGAGGCTCTAGCAAGCACGTCTTAAGCAGCAAGAAGAGCACGGACGACTACGAGGACGAGATGGAGTGTGCCTTGCTTATAGCTTTCGGGGTTTGTGGTTTAGGGTTTAGGGTTTGGGGTTTGAGGTTTAGGGTTTGACCCTAAACCCTAAACCCTAAACCCTAGACGTTTCAGGATGTAGGGTTTTGGGTTTAGGGTTTAGGGTTTAGGGTTTAGTTTAGGGTTTACGGTTTGGGGGCTTGAAGGATCGGGAGGCACGCTGTCCCATTACATTCTCTCCTGCAATCTATGCTACGAATGTCCCTCGAAACCCTATTCTAAAGATCAAGAGCGGCCCTTACAGTATTCGGGTGCTCTCCTTGCAGAAACTTCCAGGTGAGCGCTGTGGCCGCGAAGTGAGTGGCTCTCACTGGTACTGCGGGCGCCACTTGGTTCGAAAAGCTCGATTCGTAAACCCTAAACCCTAAACCAGCGGTCCGGAAAAGCACATAGAAGCCTAAACAAGTACCAATATTATTCTTTAGGGTTCCTTATCATAGAGATGCTATGAAGGAGCCCAGTACTAGAAAGGAGCCCAAACCCCTATTCTAACTATTAAGGCCCCTACAGTAGACATAAAGAGATGACGGTCTTGTTTGCTTTTTTTAGCAGGGGGTGCTGAGCTTGCATCTAGGACCGGTGGTTTAGGCTCCACTTCGGGTTCTGCAAATGAAGCTGTAATCTATTCTAGGGGCCTTTTTAATTCGAACAGTTTTCCATCATGCAGTAGTAGTAGAATATACACCCAAAAGCTTAGGATTGCCCTCACGATGGCACTTGTCGTTACTACTTACATCGACATGGCATGAGAAGGTTGTGAGGTCGTCGTCTGCGCTCGCTGCGAGAAGCAGAGCGTTGCGAAGAACGCGGCTTTTCTGCATCCCAGCCTTCACCTCCTCAGGCCTTCCTGTCTTAGATAGCCAATGGTAGAACTTTAAACTTTTGGCTTTATATATTAGGTCTATCCTAAAAAGTTTGAACTTTTTTGGGCCTGGTTGTTGAAGAAGAGAGCTGTAGGGACCTAAGTAAGTAGCAATCCTATTTTTGGGGGCTCCTTAGTATAATTCTAGTATAACATACCCCAAAACCTTATTCTATTTATTCGCGCCCCTACATTCAAACCCTCAACCCTAAGCCCCTATACTAAGCCCTTATAGAACCCTTCTAATAACCCTAAAAAAAACCCTTTAAAGGAGCCCTGCTCTAATCATGAAGGCTCCTATATCACCTCCGAGTGGTTTAGGGTTTAGGGTTTAGGGTTTAGGGTTTAGTCCCTAAGCCCTAAACCCTAAACCCGAAACCTTAAACTGTGCAGTCTTCAGACTTCAAGATCACAGCCCGCCAATCCCTGAAAGTCTGAGGCTCCTCGTTTAGGACCCCTGCCTACTACCCCTCCTACCAGGGTTTAGGGTTTAGGGTTTCGGGTTCAGGGTTCAGGGTTCAGGGATCAGGGTTTAGGGTATAGGGTTTAGGGTTTAGGGTTTAGGGTTTGTCCTGCGGATCTGCTGCAGAAGGCTGAACGTCGA